CTTTGGGAGCCGTTTCTTGCACCCTTTTTCTTTGAATTCTTTCAAAGGGACAGTTTTTGAGGAAATTGATACTTGATTGATAGGGTAATTACAAGAATGTTTGCTTCTTTCTTGGTAGTAAGCAGTGGCGTTATAACTTGCTTCCCACGTTGGTTTGATATCTAACGGCCTAGTAGTCGAGTCGAGATGTTGAGCGGTGATATCACTATCCACGCCCATCTCTTCGTTAAGTTCACCCAGGCGCGGTGATTCTAAGACCTCTCCCCCTTCTTGATGCAGCGGTTCTAGGCATAAACTGTTCTTATCCGCTGTTGTCTCAACTACAGACCGCTGAGCAAGGTCCGAGTAGTTCCACGTGTTGAACAAAAAAACAATAAATATACCGGCAATTGCGAAGATATATATGTAGAAAGACCTTGGAAGTAACATATTCGTAATGAGCCGCACAGTTATTGATATGCTAGACGAGTCGCTGTTTTACCTTTCGTTACCTTCCCTCACACACGAATTTCGTTTTGTATGGCAGAATAAACACGTATTATGAATATATCAGTTTAAGGGAGCTTCCATTTTCATAAAGGACGGGGGCTGGTGGAATTCGGGGGTAAGTTTGATAAAATCTTTGTTTTGTTATTTTTAGTTTTTGTTACCAATGTTATTGAGCCTGTTATTTGTTGTTCTTTAAACTCTTAGCCAGTGTAATTTGATTAATTTTTGTTCGTAATTTTTTTGTAACATTTAAGCTCCTCCAGGAGGTTGATGAATCACGGAATGATGACCAAATCTGATGAAACAATCCCACGCATTTTCACTTTTACAATTGCACGACTCGAACTTGGAGTGTTGTTTCAATTTCGCTCATATTATTAAAACTGAAATACCCTCATCGAAAAATCTAGACAACCGCCTACGACGAAAATGGCACTTTTAGTTATGTCGATGTCGTTCGTCAACAAAACAGTCTATAACATGGCACCTGTAGATGTGTAGCTAATAGATTGAGACCCACCAATGTTAGGAATCAATTTCTCTTTTCAGTAAAGGTCATATTGGTATGAAACTGGCTAATCCCTGACACAAACATAGTACGGTTATTGTACTAATCTTTGACACAAACATTGTGGTCGAGTACAATATCCATTAAATGATGCCGATAATGCGCTTATCAGATAACAATTATTATGACTTCCTGGTGCCGTCAGATTCGCTGTGATCTGATCGATATATTGGTCAAGAACAACACGTACATGTCCACGTTTACGGCTGTTGTGGCAGTCAATATACTTTCTAACAAGATGTGTTTGTCAGCTGCATGATGAATATATTAACATTAAATTGAATTGAATGATTTCACTGAACGAAATATGCTTATATATGCCCGTCCACCACTGGGTTCGACATCATAATAAATATTTGTGATTTGCAAACGATGATTTTAAACTATACTTATTTGTGAGTATTTATGACGATATTTACGAATGTTGCAGGCTTTTATATAGGAGGGGGGGGTCATTGACGAGGCCGTGACGGTATCAGCTGTCATGCAAGTCAATTATACTTTGAATTTGTCATAATCAGTGTGTTTTAATTGTCCATGATAACAAAGTCAGTGAACACAATACGGACACACGTGATATTGGCACCAGTTATTATATAACATATGTATAATGTAATGACATTAAAACATTTATTGCAAAAACAAAAATAATCAATTTGGTGTCATATCCCCAGCGCATAACATAATGTATCACATAAATATAAACGAGTGGAAGAAAACAAAAACAGAAAAGTTCATTTAAAGTTCTGCAAACATATTTTTAAAACAAGCAATAGAAAAAATGCTATTGTATGCCAACATAAAACTGGGAGACTCTCGTTGATTTCAAATTCTGGCAATTAAAGATTATCAAAATATTTACAACAATCCTATAAGTTTTAACTACCATGAAATCAAGAAACTTGAACAACGTTGGTATATTGGCTCATGATAGGAAGGGCTTCACAAATTAAGGAAACACTACAACACTGATACACTACAACAATTTCAAAATATTACATTATAAAATGAACACTACAAAAATATATGGATGGCTGATATTAGAAGAGAGGACTCACAATTAGAAAATATATTTTTTTTTAAACTGACACCAACATTTCATCCTGCCTAAATGTATTGAACATCACGAATGATAACAAACTAATAGGTGATTTTCCGTACAATTGCGAGATCTCGCGAGATGCATGAAAGACGCGCGTCGAACGTCTGCTGCAAAAATCGAACGATTTGATTTTGAACTCGAATTTCCTTATTTCGTAGCTCACACCGACCGGCCAATCTTCGACAGAAGAATATTGCTTCCGAATACCCTTACTTAATCGAAATTGCCTATCATCAAATGTGGACAGCACATTATTAAGCATGGAAATGTCCCCAAAATACTTTCGCGTTTGTCGAATCCCACGCGATGTTTGACGCCACTACGACGCTATGACCTTTGTTTGTCCTGTTTTTACGTTCGATTTCACGCATAACGCGTGATTCTCGCAATGTACGGAAAATGGTCTATTTCACAACTGGTAGCCACAACCTACAAATTGAATCGGTCGTCACCAAAGGCCAAAAAACACAAATTCAAGATAAACTTTGCAAACATTGTAAACAACAAGAAGATGAAATGCACTTTATCTTAGCATGTGATTTATACAACACCGAAATAGGTATTTTATATACAGAATTCACGAAATAATAGCGACACGAATAGAAAATCTTAAGATGATTTGTTTTGTTTTTTCATTATGACGTATGCCTTATTTCATTATGGCGATGAATCAGGGCTTGGTAAATATGATATTTACGCATTATATTGTCCTGAAAAATGTGGCACCAACTAATCATACATTTTTTTTTTACAATTAATGGCATGGCAACAGATGGTAGATTTGTCCTAACTTGTAATTGTCATATCGTTCATGATAATCTGTCGTGCAAATATGACGAAGCCAGCCGATTATCTGCCCTCTTTCAATGTGATCAGATTACAAATAGAGACTAATCATTCAGAGTTATTTATTTTGGGGGAAATCAATATCATTGGAAAATAAAAACAGAAATGGGACTATTTTCAGATGTTGTTATACATTTATTACCAGGCTTGTGACTTTTGGTAATTTATACTTTATTCATTCATCTTTACAAAATAAAATAATAATACATGTAATAATAATAATAGAAAGTTTCATGAAGCAGCGTGTAATTAAACCGCATCGTGTCTATGGTGTCACGTGGGAATTGCGCATGATTTTATTTTATTTCACGTGTTATTTGTCAATAAGGTGTGAACACAAAAATAATAACCAGCGATGTGGCAGCCTGAGTCTGTTCCTTTGCCGACGTGTTAATTAATCATTATTAGGCCATAAAACAATTTATGTAACTATCAGGCAATAATTGAAAGTTTAGGATCTGTTGCCTTCGATTGAATGAAGCTGGTCGCAGAGAAACACGCGATCGAATTTATGGTCAAACAAATAATGTATATTACACTCATTGTACACGTCGCAAGAGACCCACAAAGAGAACGACCACATTCAGTTGTAACTCTGTCTAATAACATGACATACCAAAATAATATTGGTGAAAAAGAGAAATAGGAAATTAGAAATGTTAGCTTGATTAATTAATTAATTATTTTGTCATGCTGCCGAGAACGTCGACTTCTTTCGCAGACGACTTACGGATTTCAGTATCTCGTGATAGTGTACGTTTCACAATATGTTGTTTCGTTTGTAATAATCACTGGTAGGTGATGGTAGGTGAAATTTTGGTTTGAAACAGCACAATATCTTGAACAAAATTTGCCTAATTTGTTTGTATGACTGGACAGCAATGTGTGTGATGAACCAAATACTTAAACGTCGATGACGTGCATCAAAAACCTGCGTATGGCCTATTATCAACATTTCCCAATCCACGAAAACTCGCGGTTGGTCGTTCTCACGAGAGCATCGTCAAATGGCCTGTAAAACTCACACAACTGTTTCAGTACATCAGGATCAACATCTGGATGTGAACGTCCCTTTGAAGCATTCATACAACTTGGTTGTGGGAAACTGGCGCAGAAGAATCCCTTGTCTTCGTCTAGATAAAAATGTTCACTG